GGACAAAGACGACAGTTTTTTAGTTACTGCTTTGGCTTCTTTTTCTTCTGCTCTTTTTTTCTGCTAGAAAGTGGTAAACTTTTTTAATTTCTGGCAGATTTTGAGCACTTGTTAGCAACCTGTTGGCAACATTGCTCAACCAAACGATTATGATCGACTGATTGACTAGGATGGTTTGGCTGGCTGACTGACTGACTGACTGACTGACTGGCTGGTTGGGGTTGCTTAATTGATTGGTTAGATAGTTGACTTATTTAATTAGTGCTAAAATAAACCAATACACAAAGAAAACTGTATTCTTTTAGTTGGTTGTTTCTGTGTGTTCATTTGTGTTGTTGAACATTGTGGATGTTGAAGTTTTGTTCTGCAGTTGGCCAGCGGAAATTGACTAACTGGCTGACTTAACTGACTGATTGTGCAGTAGGCTATACTGATGAACGTTGCTGATAAGTTCATATAGACTTTGCACAGTTCACATTTCCACATATCATTTGTTGTTTAATGTTCTTTGGCAATGGTTTAATGGTAACAGCAAAACATAAAGCAACTTTAAAAGTCACTGAACTGGGAGACGTTGTTACTGGTTTGTTATTGATGTTGTTTTTGTCGTTACCGCTTCGGCTACAGTTACTGATATTATAGGTGATGGTAATGGTGATGAAAGATGAGGTTTTTTTGGATAGTTAATTGAAATTGCCGAACAAATTATTTGAAAGCTAGTGGTTCTGTGGTTAATGGAAAAAAGAAAATTAGTCATTTAAACAAAGGATTGTTGAAAAAGTTAAGAAAGAAGCACTTTTTTCAGTTTCACTTGTATCATAGCACTTAAAGTTCAGGAAGTATGAAGACAGTTTTGTTTTGTTTGTGTAAGAAGCGCATAGTCATTTTTGACGGGTTTTTGTTGAAGAATAAGTGGGATAGGGAATTGGAAGTTTAGGGGATGAAAAAGCATAAAATTTTAAAATATGTAATAACCAATTGACTTTTGTTTTTCCACTTTTTATTCTTTTCTGTTTTGTTTCGCCTTTCACTTAATATTTGTTGGATTAAGACCAGACTGGTAAAATTGAGTGATGAAAATAGCTTTATTTTTGTTTAAAATTCTGTGAAAATTTATAAACACTAGTTTATTGTTGCATTTAGCTGTCTCGACGATAGTTTTGCCAAAAGTTGGTTTTTTTCTGTGCTTTTTTGGATCAGACTGATTGCAAAAAATAGCTGTTTTAAACTTTTTGTTTGTTATTTGAAACGACGTTGTTGTTGTTGTTGTTTTTGTTATCTTTTTTTTCTCTTTCTTTAAACTGTATTTTTTTTTCTGGTTTTAGATTGTTGTCGTTTAGATTTTTGAGCTACCTTTACATACATATACACATATAAAATGTAATTTTTTTGACGATATTTAAGCAAAAGTGTATTGGTCGTTTCAGTATGCAATATTTGTTTTGAGTGCTGTTTGTTGGATAAGGAATAAGAAAGAGTAGCAGCAGCAGCAGCAGCAGCAACAAAACAACAACAACAACAGCAACAGCAATATCAACCATAAAACTGCTTAATTAGAAATCTGCAACCAATTTTTTCCCCCTGGAAAATATATTTGAAAAAAAAGTGGAATTGTTTTTTAGTCTTCACAAAGATTATTTCTTTTCTGCAGCTGTCTATATAACTTCAAATGGTGTCCTCTACCTGCGAACACTCTGCGGTAGTAAGTTACGAAAGCTTAATTTGAACAAATATTAGAAAGCAATTTTTATTTTTTTTTCTTGGTCTTTGCTTACTTTTTCTTTTTTTTTTTTTTTTTTTTTTTTTTTTTT